TCAACACATTCAAGAGCCGATTTCAGAGGAGAAATAAGTGGTCAACAATTTATTAGGTTTTGACTTTGTTTGTTGACTATTTCTATTTGTGAATGGCGAATTTTTAGGCTTTGTTCCTTTCTTCTTAGGGTATTGACTAATATTTTATTAAGCCAGAGAGACAGTAAATTAGAATTATCTGTCCATTTTGTCTGTTATAAAGATTTCCTCCAAATTCATTTATCTAAATTTTTTGGTTTATTTAGTCGGGCGTGGTGGCTCACACCTGTAATCTTAACACTTTGGGAGGCTGAGGTGGGGCATCACCTGAGGTCAGGCGTTGGAGACCAGCCTGGCCAACATGGCAAAACCCCTTACCTACTAAAGGTACAAAAATTTGTTGGGCGGCCGGGCGCGGTGGCTCACTCCTGTAATCCTAGCACTTTGGAAGGCCGAGGTGGGCGGATCACCTCAGGTGGGTAGTTCGAGACCAGCCTGACCAACATGGAGAAACCGCATCTCTGCTAAAAACACAAAATTAGTCAGACGTGGTGGCACATGCCTGCATTGCCAGCTACTTGGGAGGCTGAGTTAAGAGAATTGTTTCAACACGGGAGGTGGAGATTGCGGTTAGCCAAGGTCTCGCCATTGCAGTCCAACCGGGGCAACAACAGCGAAACTTCATCTCAAAACACAACATCAACAACACACAGCCACAACAACAAAACAAAATTAGCCAGGCATGGTGGTGCGCCTGTAGTCCCAGCTACTCGGGAGGCTGAGGCAGGATAATCACTTGAGCCCAGGAGGCGGGGGTTGCAGTGAGCTGAGATTGTGCCATTGCACTCCAGTCTAGGATGAAAAAAAGTTTTTGGTTTTTTTTTAAACTCATTTTATTAAACCATTTAGATATATAGGATGCTTATAGATAACTACCAAGATAAACAAATAATTACCATATCAAGGTTCTAAATTTTAAAAAATCTTTCTTCCCTTTGTTACTTTTAAGTAGCCTATTCCAGGCGGGGGGACGGTAGCTCAGGCCTGCATTCCCAGCACTTTGGGAGGCCGAGGCGGGCAGATGACAAGGCCAAGAGATGGAGACTATCCTGGCCAACGTAGTGAAACCACGTCTCTACTAAAAATTTAAAAATTACCTGGGCGTGGTGGCGGGCGCCTGTATAGTCCCAGCTACTCTGGAGGCTGAAGCAAGAGAATGGCTTGAACCAGAGAGTCCCAGGTTGCAATGAGCCGAGATCGCGCCACTGCACTCCAGCCTGTTGACTGGGGGAGACTCCTCAAAAAAAAAAGAAAATAAGAAAATAAGGAGCCTATTCCAGGCCGGGCACGCTGGTTAACGCCTGTATTCTCAACACTTTGGGAAGCCAAGGTGGACGGATCACCTGAGGTCAACAGTTTGAGAGCAGCCTGGCCAACATGGTTAAATCCCATCTCTACTAAAAATACAAAAATTAGCCCTGCGTGGTGGCGGGCGCCTGTAATCCCAGCTACTCAGAAGGCTGAAGCACGAGAACCACTTGAACCCGGGAGGCGGGGGTTGCAGTAAGCCGAGATCGCGCCATTATATTCCAGCCTGGGGAACAGAGTGAGACACCGTCACACACACACACACACACACACACACACAGCCTATTCCAAAAGAAAAATAATGAAAATATTTATTTCTTCAGACGTTTCCTGGGTTGCGTTCCACCCAGATTCCCCTCCTGCTGGCCCTGAGAATGCACTGACTCCACCCTTGGCTCCAGGTCACGGGGGAGCCTTTGGCCGATATGCGCATGCGTACTCCGAGGTCAGGCAGCCACTCTCGAAAGTCTCCGGGCTCCGGCGGTGGGGTGGGTGCGCGGTCCTCGTGGTCACCGGCCTATTTCTTGTAGGCTTTTAGGACTCTGGACTTCACTTCTCACAGGTGCCTGCGGTCCTGACTGTTCCGTCTTGGACTACATATTCCACCGGCGACGGAGAAATCTTGGACCTCTGGCTCCATCTCCCGGACCTCTGGCTCTGTCTTCCCGACTTCTGCGCTGCCCCTGACCTGGTCCCACCTGAGGAAGAAGGCGGCGCGGGTCTCTGCGGGAGCTTCTGCAGCCCCAGCCCGCAACCTGCGTGGGACCCTGCGTGGTGGTGAGAGTGGAGCTGCAGGAGACACTCAGAGAGTGGAGGCCTTGGGCGCGGGCTGAGCTTTTCTCCAGCCTCCTCAGGCCCGGGGGGTGTTAGAGCTGCCGAGGAGGGGGCTCATCTCTAGGGAGACAGGTGGGGAACATCTCCTTTGTGACGTGGGGACTGAGAAGGGTGCGTGAGTTTCTTGTGTGACCGGGACATAGAGTGAGTGTCCTTTGCAAAGCCTGCTTTGCTGTAGCTCTGTGGTGTCACCGACCCGTGGGTCCAGAGTCTCAGTTTCCCTGTCTCCTCTGAGCCTAGTATGACTGCCACAGAGAAATGATGGAAGCGGGAAATCAGATACTGAGGCTTAGATGAAGGTTTCCAGTGAGAAGAAACAGATAGGATGGGAAGCTTAGAGCAGGAATTGCCCTAAAAACGATGTGATAGACTCTGTCAAAGAAAAAAATATTCAGTCACACTTGTTAAAGCAGGCAAAGAAAGACTTGATTCAGGATCATCATGATAGGTATTGAAAGCACAGCAGTGAGATTTTGCAATGGGTACAAGAGATTGGATTCAACTCCAAATTCAGCATGAAGGAGTGGGAATTTATAGTCAAGGAGCAGGTTAGGGATCACCGGATGACAAAATACTAAGGAAATGTCTGGGATAAGTAGGGTTCTGGCTAAACGCACCTGTTGGGATTCTTTTTGGAGAGAACTGGGTGATAAGACATCATCACTTGGGGACGGTGGGGGATGAAGATAGGGGAGCAGAGGGTTCCTGCTAAACTGGCTTAGAAGGGGTCTTTGCTATTTTTGGATTTTACAGTGAAGTGGACAGATTGGCCTAGGAGAAGGTGTAAGAGCCTGAGTAAAGTTTGGTCAGGCAGAGTTTGTGTAGGATTCCTTCCTACAAGGCTTGTACACTCTGCCCCCCTCTCCCGATTCTTGGAGTTTCATTTCCGTGTTTAAGAAACCGGCCTTCTTGAATTCTGACCCCAAGAACCTGCAGTGAAGGATGATTGGAGATTCCACCCACCATACTTCCTTCTGGTTATGTGTATGAAATTATGCACCTGTAGCCTTGGAGTGGGAAACAAACACTATTTTAAGGTGTTTTTGATCATTCCGTTTTGGGCTTCTTTAGATCAAAAGCAACAGGAATATGAACTCAGTTATGATGTGTCCTTGCAAATGAAGGAAGTGTACCAGAGTGTAAGTGTTTCTGAAATAGGAATTCTTTGTCATTGGGTCTATTGGCTGTTTTTATGGGCATACAGGGCACAACAATCCCCCTGAAGCTCTATGTACATGTTTGTTCATTTGCATTTTTCCAAGGTTCCATCGTCCAAATTATTTAGACTTAAGCTTTATATCTGGAATCAGAGGGTTATACCTTTGAATGGTTTTGCAGAAAACTAATGATCAAGATTATGAGAAAGGTTAAGAAAATCATATACAACATCCATGGGACTGGACATTATATTGATAATAAAATTTATGTTTATAAAGAATTTGTGAATAGCTGCATACCAGGTATCAGAAAAACAAAACATAATAAGAATTTGTCATTCACGGAAAAATGCCTATGATCTCACCTTCAACAGGATTCATAGTTGTAGGTCGCAGTTCTCAAAAACTATCTATGCAGCCCATGTTTTAAAAATGAAAGTTCACAAAACCTTTTGCAAGGATTGTATCTAATATGACCATTTAACTTGTTTTTCAGAAAAGAATGGAAGGGTCAAGGCCACATTTATTGAACTTCTAATATATATGCAAAATCATGTGGTCTGTTTTCTGTATCTTTTCTCCTTAAATGTGCAAAGGCCATTTCCCTGTTAATTAAGGGAAGAATCTTTATAGTGAAATGTTTCTAATTATGTAGAAGTGGCGCAGCTAAAGTTGATTCAAGAAAACACAATATTACATGATTCTGTCACGTTGATTTTTTTTTTAATTCTAGGCCTAGTATTTAGGTTTCTTTTAATGACAAAAATGTATCCTGGTCCCATAATGATAGTTTTAAAAGTTTAATACTTTGAAATGTATTGATA